GCAGAGACAGCAAGAGCGCTCAGCAGACAGAGAAGTCAGAAGCTGCATCCCGACGCTGGTGGAAGGAGAAACCCGCAGAGGTATGTGGAGGTAATTTTGCTTCTGGGGAAACGTAGGCAAGTTGCGGGACTCACTGGTGAAGGTGTGAGGTGTGGGGCGTAGGGTGTGGGGCGGAGGGTGTGGGGGAAGGAAAGGGCAATGTTCGGGCTGTTTGGGACGTGGGCAAGGTGTGACGGAGGTGGACTGTGGAGCAAGGTGGATTCTGGTGCCCTTGGGTGGAGTGGGAGCGTTTGTGTGGGTGTAGGAGATCAGGTTTACAACAGGTCTGGAAGTATGAGGACGTCTAGCATCTGCAACACGGCGTTTAAGAGGACTACTCCTACGATCATCAAAATCTTAATCCCTTTGGGTGGAAGGCTAAGGCGCCGCAAAAAGGCAGCGGTTATGGAAAAGACATGAGCAAAGGGGACTCCCCCCTCGCGTTGCAGACGCCGACCTCATGAACATTTGGTAAAGAGTGAGCGCGGCCGAGGTCAGCTGAGGCCAGAAGGTCAGCTGAGGCCTGAGTGCTGGGCCTCCACTCGTGCCTCTTGGTGGAAAAAAATCTTGTATCTTTTTTATCTTAATCATCGTTTAAAAAGTTAGTTTTGTTGTTGTTGACGACAGAGCCGGGCACCCAGACGCAATGCCCACAACAACAGCACACAGTGACGGATCAGAAAGGGGGTACTAAACTGGGCAGGGAGGGGGGGGGGGCGATGAGGTGACCGTGTGCAGCACGTACCATGTAGATGGGCGGAAGAAAAGGGCAGAGCGGGGTGTGAAAGTGGTGGAGGCGGTGTGGTGGAGGTGGTAGTGGCGGGGTCTAGGTGCCCGGCGGCGCAGGTGTGGGTGTTAGGGCGAGGGGGCGCCCGCCAGGCGGAGTGCGCGCGGCACCAGGCACCAGCCCTCGGGTCGAGGAAACAAAGATGACAATTCAAACCAAAGAAGGCAAGCAGCATGCAGATGGTAAGCAACTGAGGGTCATGCAGCAGGCAAGCGCAGAGAAGCAGTAGGTGGCAGTAGCGGCGGAGGAGCCGTTGCCTGCCTGCAAACCTGCGGGGTCATGGCTGGAGGCGGGGAGGGGCGGGTGTGGGGCGGGGCGTGGGGCGGGGCGGCGTCGGGGCCTGTGACTCTACACAGCGGGAGAGCTATGTCAGGAGGGGCGCCGAGGCATCCCTTCGGGCGGCACAGCGGGGAGCGGGAGTGGACTCTGGTGCAGCACTAGCGAGGCGCGGGTGCTTGAGTGAAGTGGGCGGGGCACCTGGCACACGGGGGAGGGGCGCCTAAGACACCTGGGCATCAATGCACCTAGAGGAGGCAAGGGTACAACTAGGGGGCACCTAACACCTAAGAAGGCATCAGCACTCCTAGTGCACGGAGGGGAAAGGGGGCGTCTGTGCATTCAGCTGAAGGGATGGGGTATGCCGGGGGCATGAGGCACACGAACGACATTCCGCCGGTCACAGGGCACGGCACGCCCTTCCGCGGGGCACCCACGGGAGGACTCGGCGTAGGCGCGCCCTGCCTCCTTCTCTCGTCATCCAGCTCCTGCGGCTTGAGCTTGAGAAAAGCTCCGCTGAGACCCGGATGTCTTCCCGCGGGGGGGGGGGGGGGTGAGGGCCCGGGGCTTCACAGGGGGAGGGGGAGGGGCGGGGTCTGTCGCCTGGGGGAGGGGGAGGGGCGGGGCGATGGACGTGTATGTAAATGAGTGTGTGAGTGAGTGTGTGTTGTGAAGATATATCTCCAGTCACGGAAACACTCAAACAAACACAAATGCTGACACATGCTCGCACACAACTGCCAAATACACAAACGAACAAATACATACAATACACGTACACACGCACATACACAATTCAACACACACACACACACACACACACACAGACAGACAAACAGACAAAGACATACGCGCATACACACACACAGGCAAAGATACACAAACAGACACAGACACACGCACACACAACATGACATGACATGAAACGCGACGTTCCATGAATGACTCGCCCGCGTCTCGTGACCCGACGCAGGGCGAGCGAGGCCTTGAGAGCCGCCCAAGTGCCTTGGCTCGGAGGGCGGGGGCGGGGGGGGCGGCGGAGGCATCGGCAGTGAGGGCGAGTGGAGTCGCTGTTAATGAGTGTGGGCGGAAGTGTGGGTATGGGTGAAAGTGTGTGGCGTGGGGTGGAAGTGTGGGCGTGGGTAGAAGTGTGGGCGTTAGGTTTGCTGCGCAGACAACCGGCCATGGGTGGAGTGTTGCAAACATGTATCCACGGAGAGTCTTTGTGGGCGCGATTGGACGCCTCTCGACACCAAGGGGCGCGGGCGGCGCTCGGGGCAAGCAGCCGCACATGCCATAACAGGCGCGGCGCCGGGCTGGGGCTGGGCGCCGCGGCGACGCTGCCCCGCACGCCCGCACGCCCGCAGAATTCGCGTCTCTCTTAGAGCGAGAGTTGAGGGCGGAGGTCCAATGCAACAGCGTTACATAAAATTCTACAGGTATAAAATGACAGCAGAAGGGGGGCGGGGTCGTGAGAGGATACCCGGAGGAGGGGGTGGTGGAGGTGGTGGCAGCCATGTTAAGAACAGCCGCTGCGTCACAAGTGCCCAGGGCGGAACTCGTGGGTACATCAGGCAACACTCGAGAGAGTCCTGAGCGGAAACGGCTACTGAAACACTTACTATTACAAGAAAAAATATTTAGTTTTACAGTGCCGATGCAACGTCTCTAAATATAAATGTAACATTCATTGAAAAATCAGTGCTCCATTCATTACAAAATAAGGAGGAAAAAAATGTATATAAATAATAACAAAAAGAGTACGAAAATATCATCTCAACAAAGATAATTATAGTATGTAAACTGTTAGCAAACGAATGAGAATCGGTCAAAGGCGCAATTAGAGAAAGCAACATCATAAAAGTGTTAAATTGACGAGCAATAAACGCAGATCAACTATTAATTGAACAGAGGAATAAATATATATATACCAATGCTGTTGATTAATCGATAAAAAATATGTAGGAAAAAAGTGTTATTTCTCAAGAGAACCAATGCTGGACACATGGGGGGAGGGAGGTAATATTAATAATAGGTTATATAATCGAGATTTCAAGAATACGCAAGTGGTAGTGGTAAGAAAAGTGGAGAGAAGTATGGGTGAGTTGGGAGATAATAATAATAATAATAATAATACATAAACACAGATGTTACGTATGAGACAGAAAGACAAAGATAATAAAAAAGGGGGGGAGGGGGGTCAGTGTGGAGACAAAAGTGACAGAACATGACATGGAAAAAGCTAGGTTAGATCAACTTTTTTTTTCAACATATTTTGAGATACTCTTATTTACAGCCTGAAAGAGAAAAATGTTGACAATCAAATGATAAATGGAACTTAAAAACGATAATAATAACAGTAATTAAGAAGAAAAAAAAACACTAAAACAAAATAAAAAATAAAGAAGACAAATTATAGTTGTAAGCAAGCACCAAAAAGTATTTACAAATCCACTGGAAAATAAAATAAATATATATAATGATAGGACATGACAATAAGGTGGCTGGTCGAGCCTCGCTCCTAACGTGCGTGCGCGTGTGTACGTGTAAGTATGTAAGTAAGTAAAGAAAATGTGCACTCAGTTACTCTATGGTTAATCCGATACAATATGCTCAATAAGCGACGTTGAAATAACGCTTAAAAAAGAGTGCGCCATAGATGCTTGAAGCGGGCGTGAGTGTGTCCAACGTCTAGTGTGAAGAGTGAAGAGTGAGGCGTGAGAAGCGAGGCTCGGACCCGACCCCTCATCACAGCTATACAGCATACTCGCTACTGATGGCCGCGCGGTTGCTTCACGTCCTTATAGCCTTGTTTTGCTCTCCGGCAACAGCGTCGAAACACATGAACACACAAGAGAGACACAGTACATTAGGAAGAAAAAAAAAGAAAAAAGTTGAAAAAAAAGATCCGAATCAGATCTACAAGACTTGTATCCTTCACGGAAATTAAATTTTTAAAAAAATCACAAAAGGCTATAAAGATCAGTGAATTCATCAGCCCACCTTATTCGAAAAAAAAAAATAAAAAAAATAAAAAACAGGGCGTGGCCATCATCATTCTTTGTGACATCCAATTATGAAAATATTGAGCGAGGGCTGTTCATACAAGACACTTAAAATCCAAAGAATCCCGGCAGCTCTTCTGCCTCTGAACTAGAAAACACTGAAATGATGAGCAAACAAAGGGATGCAGCGGGGAGGTGATCCAGGCTACAGAACCGGTTTGCTGTTCACTTTAGAGTTAAAAATAATATAAAAAAAAGTCGTGCTGGAGAGGGGGAGAGAGGAGAGAGACTGAGAAGTAGAGAGGAAGCGAGAAAGTGAGAGAGAATGAGAGAGAGAGAGAGAGAAGAGAGAGAGAGGAAGAAAGAGGGATAAGGCTGGAGGAAGGGATAGATAGGGGGGGAGAGGGGCAGTGCCATCGCAAGACTTAAAAAAAAAATGGGGTGGAAGAAAATATGAAATGGGGAGGTTGGAGAGGGAGGGGGAGGGTGGGGGGAGGGGGGGCATACAACCCGCTGAAGAAGCATGGAACGAAGTAGAATGTCCAGCAGAGGGGGAAAAAATAGGGGAGAGGGGAGGAAAGTCTAGGGGGAAAAAAGTCCGAAATAAAAATGGAAAAAAAGGGTCGATTGGAGACACTGCCCATCCCCTTCCTCCCTTCTCGCTCCCTCCCGATCCCCCCTTCCCCCCATAAACCCCAGCAACGCCTTACGGTTTCTCTCGGAGGTGAAGGGGGGCGGGCACGCTACACAGGGCCCTATGTCACACGCGACGATCCCCCAAATGATCATAAAAAAAAAACACAATAAAACCATAAAAATCACAGAGAGAGAGAGAGAGAGAGAGAGAGAGAGAGCGAATGAACAAAAATCATAATTCTTTCGTTCTAACTTCGACATGCTATCCCCATGCTGCGTCCTGCGTCTGCGCGAGGGAGCCTGTGTGTAAGGTGCCTCCTCCCTCCTTCCCTCCTTCAACCAACGAAATGGAAAAGGGCAAAGCAAGCAAACTTATCATCCTACAAGTGCTGTAAATAAGCTTTAGATAAAAAGGAAAAAAAAAAGTATATAAATAATGGATGGTACATGAAAAAAGTTCAAGCGGCAATAATAATAATCATGATATCAAGAATCATAATTTGGTAATAACAGTAACAACAATATGGATGAGAAAAAACTTTCTGACAGTAAATACAGAAATGGGTAGAGAGAAACATTAGACACATTGTATAAAAAATATAAACTATACATAGAGTCATGTAAACAGATCACTATACAAGGTAGGTCTAGGCTTAAGGAACAATAGGTGTGGGTACAAAGCATTGCCTTAGGAAATCTTACATCTTGATCTAACCTCTATCATGACAGGGGCGAGAGGAAGGCGAGGGGAAGGCGGGCTGTTGGGGCGGGCGATTGTGTCACTGTCAATAACTGATTGATTGATTGATTGTGTGGTGTGTGGGTGTTTGAGTGTGCGTGTGCTTATCCGAAAAAAATATTCGCAAAAAAAAAAGAATGCAAAGAGTACAGGATCTGTGAGGGCGAATGACGTGTTGTTGTGAGGGTTTGGGGGGGGGGGGGTGAGAGGGCTCGTGGGGGGGGGAGGGGGGGGGGGGAGACAGCCCTTCGCGCGACCTTACCTCTAGTCGGTCGGTCCGTGGCACCTTCTGAGCCGTGACCACCTGCTGGGGCACCACCCCCGTGATGGGCGAGGCCACGTCGGTCATGCCCATCGTCATGACGGGGGAGGAGGCGATGTAGGGGTTGAAGTTACCCATCGTCGGGATGCCGGCCAGGTAGGGCGAGTTGTGCTGCTGGGAGAGGACAAGAGAGGCGGTCAAGAGGAGGGCCTTCGGGTCGTCGGGGCGCGGCGGCGGCTCTACTGGACTCTCGCAAGTGACTCTGGGAACTGATCTAGGCAAGGTCTGATTCGTTTTCTTGTGAAACAAACTCATGACTAAAAAAATTTATTCTTTAAAATGAAAAATAATCTACTGCTACTACCTCGTAAAAAATATATAACCAATATACAGCAAATACAATTAAAATCTGACCAATAAAAAGGCAAAAAACAAAAAAAGTCTGAGAAAAAAAAACAAGTGAACCTTCAAAACCTTGACTTTAAACATACACAAACACAAAAACAAAAAAATCTCTGGTCCCTTATCATTACATTACATACAAAAAAACAAAAAAAAATCAAAGATCTACCCAGGAACTAAGAGGGAAGGTTAAAAAAGGCATTTGCAAGACGGATAAATCTGCCCCACACAACTACCTGTCCGTGAGCACTACAAGAAACCTTACTGGTACAACGCTTAATCGAAGGAACCACTGTGGGCAATACTGTGGCGATATTCCTTGATAACAAGTGGAAAATGTGACGGTTTTTTAAATATATAAAAAGAAAGATCTACTATGCAAACTACTATCTTTTTTTAGATACTAGAATAAGTAGCAATTAATGTAAAATAATGTATATATAGCGGAAGGGGCATGTGTGGAAAGGGGGAAAAAATGTTACATGTTGCCAACTAGTGAGGCGGGAACAGTGCAAAGACTTTATTAAAATCAAAACTACTCTGTACAGTCATTCCACTGAGGGTTGCATCAAGGCATATCTCTTCCTTTATTTCAAAAAAGGGGGGAGAGGCTGTGAGATTAAAAAAAAGAATCAAGTAAATATATATATGGTGGTGGTGGAGAGAAGGGGGGGTCGGGTGGAAGAACGAAATAAAAAAATCAAAATAGCTTTTGTCTTCAAAAAACAAAACAAAAAAAGAAGCGGAGTGTCTTTAGCTGCGGTTGCTATGATGGGTAAAATCTGGAGGGCTAAAAAGTTTAAGATAAATATATAAATGTAAATATAAATATATATATATATTTTTTGGTATTTTTGGCTAGCAGGCTTGCTGGTTTGGCTGAGTTGGCTTGGCTGGCTTGCTTTTATTTATTTATTTTTTTTTTTGGCTTGGTGCTACGATCGTCTGGGGATGAGTGGAGGACCACCGTCACCTCAACTACTGTTAATCTTATGGAGGAAAACTACCTGCATATTCCAGCGGGGGGGGGGGGGCATTGGGATTAGTGAGCCGGGGGGATGCGGTACAAGGAGGCAGAGTAGCCAGACAGGGTGAGAGGCAGGGAGACGGGTCGAGGGGGGGGGTAGGAGAGGGTAGGGGGGTGAGGGGGTGAGAGCAGGGAAACGGGTGGGGGGGGGGGGTTGGGGATGAGATAAGAGGGTGAGAGAGAGAGAAAGGACGGGCGGGGAGAGGGGGAAAGGGGTAGGAGGGGGGGTGAGAATAAAAGGGTGAGCGGGGGCAGTAGAGTCGGGGGGGGGGGGGGGGGAGGGAAGGGGGAGTGAGACAGGGTGAGAGAGGGAGAGGGATGGGACGGGGGGGAGAGAAGGGAGTAAGAATAAGAGGGTGAGAGGGAAAGGAGGGAGAGGGGGAAAGGAGTGGGAAATACGGGGATAAGGGAGAATGGGGGTGAGAAAGACAAGGATAAGGGAGTAAGAGTGAGAAAATACAGGGACGAGAATCTTAAGAGACGAGCGAAGGGAAAGGGGAAAGGGAGAGGGTGAAGCAACGGGAATAAAAGGGAAAGACGGGGCAGGAAGAAGGGGGAAACGGGATAAAGAAGGGGTTAGGGGTAAGGAACAAGAGACGGAAGGGAAGAAAGTCGGGGTGAAGGGAAGAGAGGGGAGAAGGGGAGAGGGGAGAGGGAGAGGGGGAGAGGGGTGACGGCAGTAGCAATGCGATCTTTCCATTCCCAAAGGGATTCCTAGAGGGGTTCCAGGGGGGGGGGAAGTGGGGAGGAGAGAGGGAGGGAGGGGAAGGTAGGGGATTGAACGGAAGAAGGAGCGAGGGAAGGAGAGACGCAAAAGGAGGGAAAATGGAAGGAGAGCAACATGGTGGGGAGAGGGAGAACGGAGAACGTGTTGTGTGTGTGTGTGTGTGTGTGTGTGTGTGTGTGTGTGTGTGTGTGTGTGTGTGTGTGTGTGTGTGTGTGTGTGTGTGTGTGTGTGTGTGTGTGTGTGTGTGAGAAGAGAACAGAGAAGAGAGAGAAGAGAGAGAAGAGAAGAGAAGAAAAGAGAAGAGAAGAGAGAGAAGAGAAGAAGAAGAGAAGAGAGAAGAAAGAGAGAAGAGAAAGAGAAGAGAAAGAGAAGAGAAGAGAAGAGAAGAGAAGAGAAAGAGAAAAGAAAGAGAAGAGAAGAGAAGAGGAGAGAGAAGAGAGACGAGACGAGACGACGAAAAATGTTCTCCTCCCTCATGCAAACACAGGAGAGGAGGAGGAGGAGGAGGGAGGAGGAGGAGGAGGAGGAGGAGGAGGAGGGGAGGAGGAGAGTGGAGGGGAGAGGGCGTGGGCGGAGGAGGAGGAGGAGGAGGCGGAGGGGGGGAGGGGGGGGGGGTAGAGGACCAATGGCGTGGGCGGGACCCTTATCTAGAGTTAATATGCCAAGAAAACATCTAATTGACAAGACATGCTCGAGCATTTCCCTTATTCTTGCCTTTCCTCTACGTGGAACTCAACAAGCAGAGAAAGGGAAACAGAAGGAAATAGAAGAGAGATGAGGGGAGAGAAAGAGGAAATGGGAGAAGGAGTAGGAGAAGTAGTAGTAGTAGTGGGAGTGGGAGAGAAAAAGGAAGTGGGAGGAGTGGGTATAAGAGTGGGGAGAGGAGAAGGAGAGAGAGAGAGAGAGGGAGAAGGAGAGGGAAAGGAGACGGGGAGAGAGATGGAGTGAGAAAAGTTGAAGGAAGGGAGAAGGAGAAGACGAATAAAAGAAAGAATAAAAAAATAAGAAAAAAAGAATGCACGAGAGCGAGCAAGAACGTTAACAAAAGAAGCTTAAATAAAACGGAAATAAGCACTCGCACACAAAACCAAACACTAATGTAAAAACAAAGAAAAAATAAACAAAACAAATTTAAAAAAACGCAATCGAAATAACTACAAATTGGACTGAGGACAAAAAAAAAAAAAAAAAAAAAAAAAAAAAAAAAAAAAAAACGCACATACACAACCCGAAGAGGTGTAAGCAAAGAACCCGAAATAAGGGTGTTTGTACTACTACCCTTTGGGGGTGGGGGTGGGGTTGCGAGGGTGAGAGGGGAGGGGAGGGAGTGTAATCCTATACCTTACTCCAGGCTTCCACAACTCTGTGGTCGGGGGAGGAGAGAGAGAAGGGGAGATGAGGGCAAGAGTGGAAAAGGGTGTATAGAATCAAAGGGAAGTAATGTTATTAGACAGCCAGGGAGGGAGGAGGAGGAGGGGGAAAGGGAAGGAGGAGGAAAGGGGAAGGAGGGGAAGGGGGGAGGAGGGGAAAGGGAGGAGGGGAAAGGGAGGAGGAGGAGGAGATAAAGAGGAGGGGAGGAGTGGGAGGAGATAAAGAGGAGGGGAAAGAGCGGGGAAGGAAGGGAAGAGGGTGAGTGTGTACAGTTTAGAGTGAGGGAGGATGAGTCACTGAAGACAGGGTTTGTGTTACACGGTGAAGGAAGGGGGGTGAGAGGATGGGGAAGTATGGGTATACTGTAGTACTGTTCCAGAATCTGAATGCAAGAGTGAGAAAGAGAGTGTAAGGGAGAGAAAGAGAAGAAAGGAGAAAGAGAAAAGGAATAGTGAGAAAGAGGAAGAGAAAGAGCGGAAAGAGAGAGAGAGAGAGAGAGAGAGAGAGAGAGAGAGAGAGAGAGAGAGAGAGAGAGAGAGAGAGAGAGAGAGAGAGAGAGAGAGAGAGAGAGAGAAAGAGAGAGAGAGAGAGAGAAAGAGAGAAAGAGAGAAGAGAGAAAGAGAGAAGAGATAGAGAGAGTGTAAAATGTTAGTTAAAAAGACAGCGAAAGGAAGAAACCGATTTACCACTGCAACAACGAAAGGAAAGGGAAGTGAACAAGGAATCATAAATACCCAAAACGTGAAAAAAACAATCAGACAAACAAAAGTAAATAAAAAAATAAAATAAACCAAAAGGAAAAAGAGAGAGAGAAAAAAAGAACCAAAACACAAAGGGAAACCAAAAGACAGTGCCGGACAGGAGTTCACAAGGGCGCCAGAGAGAGAGAGAGAGAGAGAGAGAGAGAGAGAGAGAGAGAGAGAGAGAGAGAGAGAGAGAGAGAGAGAGAGAGAGAGAGAGAGAGAGAAGAAGAGAGAAAACAGAGAGAAAAAAAAAAGAGACGATATAAAAAAAAAAAAAAAGAAATAGACAAAAAAAACAAAAACGGAGAAAAAAACTAACAAGAGAGAATGAGAAAAAAAAAATCAAGAAAGAGACAGAACGAAGACGAGGACGAGGACGGGGGCGGCGCGTGAACCGAGACGTAGGACCAAGGAGACAGGACCAAGGAGAGAAAAGGGCATCAAGGACGAGGCCTCACTTGAGCAGGCACGACGCGGTGGTCAGCGATCAGGTGCGGAGGATCAGCTGGGCCTGCACGACCTTCTCCTGTCGCCTGTAAGCAATCCTACATATAGCCTGTGACCTGCGGGTGCGGGGGCTGTGGAGGCCGAGCACACAACCGCGTAGTCTTGTGACTGGCTTATCAGTGGCCTCTAACAGTATGGCTTTGCCCTTTAGATATTTGAGATTGGCAACAACAAACAGATAAAAAAAAGGTTATTATTATTTCCATTTCTTTGAATGTGAACTTCAAGGAAAAAAAGGGCAAGTGATGAATAAAATAGATATGAATAAAAGCTTATAGTAGTGGTAATCTGCCTAACAGCTGAAATATCTAGAGAAAAAAATATATATGTAAATAATCAGCCTCTACCAAATTTCACTTCATGAGAGAGAAAAAAAATAATTTGCCTTCGATGAGTTTGTAAATTAATAACAACTCTGACATATCCACCTGAAACTTTCCTCTCTTTTGAGTTTATTTCCCGAATTAAAAAAAAGAGTAATATATGAACAAGAAATAAAACAAGAACTCGAGACTGCCATGTCTTGTTATTAAAAAAAAATCACAAAGAACACGGTGCAGTGGCGAGCTGTCCACTCCAACGCTGGTGGAATTGGGTGCGGTGCAAGGAGCGGAGTATCAAGGTGTGTGGTTGGGTGGTTGAGTGTGGTAGTGGGCGCCGAGACGGTTGTTCTCCGGTTCTGCTTCGCGTGCGTTCGAGACCGTCCCCTTCCCTTCTCTTTATCTCCATCTCGTTCTTTCCTTCTCCCTCTGTTTATCCCTTTCTATCCTCTCTTTCCCTCCCTATATCACCAACCTCCTTCCCTCCTTTGTCTCCCTGTATGTCTACCTCCTTTTCTTCTCCTCCTCGTTCCCTTCTTCTTCCTCCCTTACCCCCCTCTTTATCTATCTCTTCCCCTCCCTCTATCCCCATCTCCTTCTTCCCTTTCACTCCCCTATCCCTACCTTCCATTTCTTTCCCCACCTATATTCCCATCTCAATCCCTCCTTTACACCCTATACACCTAATTCCCATCTTCCACTATCCTTATCTCACACACACACACAACACACACACACACACCCACACACACCACACACGCGCACACACACACACACACACACACACACACACACACACACACACACACACAAACACACACACACACACACACACACACACACACACACACACACACACACACACACACACACAACACACACACACACACACACTACGTACATCTAAACTGAGAGCTTCCCTCGCAATATACCTCACGCACACACACGGGCCTTTTGAGAAGACCTCTGTCCTAATCGCTGAGCACGTATCGGAAAACCTGGTTCCTCCCGCATGTCCAATTGCGTATGATGTAGTTCGCTCCCAAAATGAAAAGGGTTGGAGGGGGCAAGGTGGAGGGAGGGAGGGAGGGAGGGAGGGAGGGAGAGGCGTTGAGAAAAGGGGAGAGGGAAAGAAAGATTGTCGAGAAGGAAAGGAGAAGAGGGGGAGAGGGAGGGAGGGAGGGGAGAGAGGGAGAGAGAGAGAGAGAGAGAGAGAGAGAGAGAGAGAGAGAGAGAGAGAGAGAAGAGAGAGAGAGAGAGAGAGAGAGAGAGAGAGAGAGAATGAGAATACAAGATATGAGGAGAGAGAGAGAGAGAGAGAGAGAGAGAGAGAGAGAGAGAGAGAGAGAGAGAGGAGAAGAGAGAGACAGAGAATAAGCAAGGAGAGAGGGAGACCAGGAGAGAAAAGAGCGAGAGTGAGAGAGAAAGAAAAAAAAAGAAAAAAACAAATATTTGCTGGAGGAAAGGCCATTAAGCCCCTCGACACGACCGCCTCTACTGCTTAATAAAGTAAAGCATTATCGGTTTCCAAATTCTTGCTACGCGCCCATGCCACACGACCGATATGCCGGAATACATATATACACCCTGACCCTTGGCCCTGTCGACGTCGCCTGGCCCTCCCCCCTGCCCCCTCACCTGACCCTGCCTACAACATCTGCTCTCTCCCCTCCCGCCTGCCTCCCTGCTTGCCCCCGCCAGCTGGTGCCTCCTTCCTTCACGCGACAGCTGGTCCCCGTCTCCACCACCTGTCTACTCCTTCAGAATCTGCCTCGTTCTATCCCCCAAGCTCTCCTAACTCTCGACCACACACTCTTAGGACGATACCAAATAGATTTAATAAATAATAATAATAATAATAGTGATAATAATAGTAAAATAGTAATAATATAAGGCTTTGTATCTGCCAACCCTTGAATACCCCCCCCCTCTCCCCTTCTTGCTCCTCCCCCCTCCCTATTCCTCCTGACGCAGCCCCCACACCCTCCCGAAGCCCCGCCCTCTGCGTCAGGTCATCGCCATGCCTCAACATGTCTGCCACACGTTACGGCACTCAGCCACGTCCTACCTCTTCCATTAGCTCATCGGCGCCGGACCATCAACTTTTACCCGGAATCAAGCGAAGCCTCATCCCTGGGCTTCCTCTATCCCGCCTTGGAAATTCTCCTCCGAGTTTAAGGCTTCTTTTTTTTTTCTTTTTTATAAATAAGTTAAAAAAAAAGGAAAGTAAAATAAAGAATGAAAATACACAGACCCAATACAGCACCGTTTCTTTTTCCAAACCCTCTGCCTCCCCCACCCGAGGTCCCCGGGCCCCCTCCTACCCCCTCCTACCCCTTCACCCTATGCCAGGTGCCAGCCCCTAATGAGAGACCGATCTCCTCCCTCACCCTCCCCCCCTCTGTGGATACATTGGGGTGGGGGGTGGGGGGGGGGGGGCGCACTGTCAACACAAAGACGGGAATGTAGCGACAGCCTCCAATACGTGTTGAAGAAAGGCGAAAAATTCGTTTGGGCTGCGAGACGGTTTTCGCTTTCGCTTTTTTTTATTTTACTTTTTTTTACTTTTTTTTCTCTCCTATCGTCCGTTCGTTTGAGATCCGTCTCGATCCTCGGAAATTGTATTTTCTCTTATTCTTTACTTGGCTTCGTTACTCTTTATCTTTCTTGAGATCGACATCAAAACAAATCCGATTCTTTAAGTCCGAAATAAAAGACAGCATTTCAGCGCCTTTCTGTTCGACTCAGCGCGCAACCTAACGCCCATATTCAAAGTTCAGACAAGATAGAAAGGCATGAGATGGTGTGAGCTCCATTGTTCCAACGTGACCGGGTGTTCGAGGGTGCTTCCGCGTGTTCCTTCCGACGGTGTTGACACCGACGGTCCGACACGACGGTCAGCCCGACACGACGGTCAGCCCGACAGCGGTTCCTCCCGACGGTCCGACAGACGGTCAGCGACAGCGCGTTCCCTCCCGACGGTCAGCCCGAGCCGACGGTCAGCCGACAGCGCGTTCCTCCCGACGGTCAGCCGACACGACAGACCGAGCGCGTTCCCTCCCGACGGTCAGCCCGACAGCGCGTTCCTCCGACGGTCAGCCCGACAGCCGTTCCCGACGGTCAGCCCGACAGCGTGTTCCCTCCGACGTCCCGACTCCGTTCCCGACGGTCAGCCCGACAGCGTGTTCCCTCCCGACGGTCAGCCCGACAGCGTTCGTTCCCGACGGTCAGCCCGACAGCGTGTTCCCTCCCGACGGTCAGCCCGACAGCGTGCCGACGGTCAGCCCGACAGCGTGTTCCCTCCCGACGGTGCCGACGTCAGCCGACAGCGTGTTCCCTCCCGACGGTCAGCCCGACAGCGTGTTCCCTCCCGACGGTCAGCCCGACAGCGCGTTCCCTCCCGACACCGACAGCGTGTTCCTTCCCGACGGTCAGCCCGACAGCGTGTTCCCTCCCGACGGTCAGCCCGACAGCGTGTTCCCTCCCGACGGTCAGCCGCAGCGTGTTTCCTTCCCGACGGTCAGCCCGACAGCGTGTTCCCCTCCCGACGGTCAGCCCGACAGCGTTCCCTCCGACGGTCAGCCCGACAACATGCTCCCTCCCGACGACGCGTTCCCTCCCGACAGCGTCTGCTCGCCTCCTCGCTTCCACGGCCGAGGTCTCCGCACGGGATTATAATGAGAAAAGTTGAGCTGTTTGCTACGACAAAGTTGATGAAATCTAAGGTCAAACGGTCATGACTGAGATGTTTTTTTTTTTTTTTTTTTTTTTTTTGGGGTGGGGGGGTGGGGGGAGGTAGTGGGTAAGAAGGCTTGTGTGTGTTGGGGGGGGGAAAGGAGGGACTTAGAGGGGAGGAGGTCACAAAAGGAGGAAGATTTAGGGGTGGGAGGGGGAGAAATTCGAAGGAGGGGTGATTAAAAAAAAAAAAAAAAAAAGTGGGTGGGTGGGTTAAGGGAGTCGCTACGATCTCGGCCGACTCGGATCTCCGATAACCCTCGCGATCCCGTTCCCCTTTCCCACGACAGCCGACACGACCCGCACGCTAAGCAAAGCCCGCAAGAAACAACACAAGAACAACACGCAGAGACCGGGGGAAACTCTTTCACAATACGACGCTGCGTTTCCCTTCGTCACGGCCACCTGCAGCCCCCACAGGTCGTGACTCGGGACTAACGACTCATTCTGCGCTGTAACACGACCTCCCGCCACCCATAAAGTCGCTGCTACCACCACGGTACTACCGTGGCCCTAGGTCTATCCCCTGAGCCCCCTCCCCTCATGTCCCTCCCTCCCCTCTTCTCTTACCTACCCTCCCCGTCTCCTCTCACCTACCCTACCCTCCCCTTCCCTCTCCCCTCCTTCCCTTACCTCCCCTCCTCTCCCCTCTCCTCTCCCTTTACCTCCCCTCCCTCTCCCCTTGCCTCCCCTCCCCCTATCAGGAGATTAAATCCTGTAACAAGCGCGGCAGCGTGTTTAGGACTACTAATTCTTGATACGCCCCAAAAACAAACGGCATCTAAAATAACAGTAATGTTAACTAACAACAGCAATGACAACAACACTAATAACGACGATAATAATCTTAAATTTAAGGAGGGGGGGAGCTCGGTTAATTGATAAGCGGTTCAGTAATTTCCTCTTTTTTTCTATTCTATCTAATCTAACGATTCAGCCCACTAAGTGTACCCTCGACTCGCCCCCCAACTCTAAGTGCCTTAGCTGAAGTGTCACAGCCTGAAAGAGAGTGTCGCTGTTCCAACATGTGTGGCACTCCCAAGCAGAAGCATTATGCCCATCCTCACAACAGGGGAGTCGCTGCATGATGAAGCATACGCATGCGGTGCTTTCACGTCTCTTGAAATGTGTTTTGAAATCCTAAACTCATCCTGCCCGTTTTACTCTTCCTCTCCGTGAATGAGGAATCACACCTTAAATGTTACTTTAACCTCCCTGTACGTCGAGGTGTGACCCGTAACCCTCTCCTCTCCCTGCGTGGGGATGATAGTGTCATGTGCGGGGCGAGAATGCCACAATACGTCACGGGTAAATCTAGCGTATTGTAGGGAGCCATAACTGCCTGCGTGTGACGGGTTTACGGCGTCACACTTCTGCTGCAGATCGTCACCGGCGCGTCGCGTACGCTCTAAACATCCGCAATGTGGGTTCTAAATGCTCCGAGGTGCTATGGGTGTCTGGTGTGACGTCCAGTGCCACTTAAAAGACTATGATGTGTCGTCAGAAGCAGGTCTATTGATGATGCACACTACATGCTATCTCTGAGGCGTGTGTGTGGTGACCTGGCCAGCATTTTATGTGTCAAGGTCCGTCCATTCCCTTGCTTTTTAGAGAAAGAAAACTAAAACAAAAACCGAACTCATATTTCTTGTTTCGTAAAAAATGGAAAACATACAACAACAATAATAATAATAATAACGGCAATCATAATAATACAACAACAACAAAAGGAATACAAAATGTACTTTTTTGGGGGGAGAAAAAGGGAATTGGGAAAAGTTAGGATACAGGTTGTTCCAAGATAAAGGAAGATGTCATGATGCTCGTTATGAGAGAAGAAGAAATTAAAAAAAAAAAACTTATAATCACAATACACATAAATCTCTCACTTTGCTTTCTATCATTGAAAAAAAAAAAACATCAAAACAAATCCTTGTCATCTTAAACCAAAAGAGGTATTTAGATTGCACTCGATTTGCATTTTAAAAAAAAAAAAGAAAGAAAAGGCAATCACTAACAAGGAGGCAGTTCTTACATCTACTGGCTTCGGACACAGACCTCAAGCTACATGGTTTGTGCTTCAGAGGAAAGGGAGGTTAAGGCCCGGTGCTCTCGGGAAGAACACGCAGGCGGTTTTATGAGTTACATGAGGAAGTGAAGGATGGAAGTGAATGGTGGAGAGAGAGAGAGAGAAAATGGGAGAGAAAGAGGAGAAGGAGGGAGAGAGAGATTAAGAAAAGAGAGGAAGGGGAGAAGGGATAAAGAAAAGAAAAGGGGGGAGAATAAAGTGGAAAAAATGTAAAGAAAACATAACGAGAAACGAGAGAGAGAGAGAAATAAGACAGAGAGCGAAAAGGGAAGGGAGTAAGAGGAGAGAAAAAAGGGGGAAAGAAAGGAGAATGAGAGATGGAAGGAGAATTTGATGGATGGACGGAGAGATAGTGAGGAGGCAGTACACAAAAAAGAGAGATCAATTTACGCACTAATAAGCTCAGTGACGTAATGGCTCTTGAAGGTTTAGGTCTATATATATATATTTTGGTGGGGAGTGTAAGAAAAAAGCTGCTGTTTTTTTTGTCTTTTTTTTTTTTACTTTTATTTCATTTTATTATCTTCTATTATTAAATTGGCGCGTCTGTGAAAAAAGAAGTGCGAGAATAGCAATAAAACTTTTATATATATATATTTTTTTTTTTTTTAACTTTCATCATGCTTTTTTCCATCAAGGTCTTTTCTTGGAGTGTCCGCTTTCATCAAAACATAAACCAGCTGTGATCAATGAATAGACTTACTGAGAGCATAAGAGGAACGTTTTCTGCAGAAATTGCGGTGTTGTATAGGGTGTATTGCGCCTGAGTTCCCGAAGATCTCTGCTCTTGTCTACTGTGAGCGGTCGGGGCGCTAGGGTAATATTGTTGTTGCATCTGGGGACGGAAACGGGGGTACTTCAGAAATCGGGGATACTGTCACAGAAAACGGGAATACTGTCACAGAAAACGGGAATACTGTCACAGAAAACGGGGATACTTCAGAAATCGTGGGTGGGAGGTGGGGGGGGGGAACCTTTCAGGAAACGGGAATTCTTCAGAAAATCGTGGAGGGACATGAATTGGAGGACTTTCAGAAAACGGGGGTTTGGGGGGGGCATTTCTTTAGAAAACTCCAGAGAACTTTAGTTAAAAACGTGAAGGGGAACTTGTTTAAAAAGGGGAAGTATTTCATACTACAAAACTATGACTGTATAATCAGTATGCAACATGGAGACACTCACGGGATTCTACTATCATTTTTTTTCCTTCTAATACAGGCTAATGCCTTTCCCATCATAAACTATGGTAGCAAGTGTTAAGGCAGTCGTCGGTGCATATTTTTGGTACCCGTGCAGTATAAATACCACACTTGGCCTCTACATTTCTTCTTCCAATTTCAATCATATATAATTTTGTCTCTCTGATTTTCATTACATATACACACATACATATAAATATATACATATACATATACTTTAGGCACACGACATTGCTTAACGCAGCTATTGCAATTACAAAAAGACACTCGCCAAAAAATAATTAATTCTCCCGTGAGTAGTCGCTAAATAGTAACACATGTACACAAAACAAGGTAGGAACAGGTTGTGGTAGTGGTTGGGATTGGTAGGAGGTCGTAGCGGGATGTGGAAAGGTGGTAGGTGGTAGGTGGTAGTTAGAGGTTTGGAGGGAGGTAGGGAGAGAGAGAGAGAGAGAGAGAGAGAGAGGGAGAGGTAGGGAATGGATGGGGGAAGGGACAAGTGGTAGGTATAGGGAGATTATATTTTATGCTCCTCAGTGTCCTTCCAGATGTGTATATATATATATATATATTGTATATATCTATATAAGACTCCATTCAACAACAAAATAAAACAAAGAGAGAATGCAAGATGAAAAAAAGCATCAACTACCAAAAAAAGGAAAAAAAACGTCGTCTTTTAACATCTAAAATATGTAAATGAAAAAAAAAAATTACGAAAAGAAAACACAGAAGACGAGGAGAAAGAAAGACCAAGAGAGGAGGAGGGGGGAGGGGGGGGAGTGCCACAGAGGAAACACCACCTGCCACAGAGCCTCGTCTTAGGGGCTCCGCAGACACGCCTAGGATGCCTGACGAAGCCGAGACGAGGTCCTAGCGCCGGAAGGACTTCAGGTGACGAAGGAGGTGCTTGCGTAACTTTAAGACAAATTCCTTTGATGCAGGAGGAGAGGCGGAGGAATGGGGGGGGGAGGGGGAGGGGGGAGACAGACTGAGAGGGGGGTGGGCAACAGGCTTGGTAGAGAGAGGATGAGGGGAGAGAGAACGACGGGAGAAAGGTGGTGAGAGAGAATGAAGTTGGATGATAGGTTGGGAGAAGGGGATGTGGGGAGAGCGAGACGTAAAGCGCGGTGAGGGAAATAGTAAAAGAAAGAGGAGGATTGGGAGAACGAGGGGCGAAGGAGAATGGGGAGAATAAGTAAGACTAGGATGGGGAGAGGAGAGAATAGGAGAGGGGAGGAGAGAGAAACGGATGGGGAAGAAAATCTGAGGAGTGAATTGGGATCGGAGTCAGGAGTGAGACGAGAGAATAGGAACAGGAAGGAGAAAAGGAGGGAGAAAAAAGAGAAAAAAAAGGAAAAAAAGAGCGAAAGACGAACAAGAAAAAAAAGAAAAAAAGGAAACGGAGAATAATAAAAAAAAGGCATAGAGAAGAATAAACAAAAACGAAAGGAAAAGACGCCAAAGAGGAAAAAGAACACCCCGAACTTACACCTCCACAAAAGAGTCCCCATCGAAACTCACACAAAACCAACAACGCCTCGCAGCCGAACCCAAACCTTGGCTTCGTCCTCGTGGAGAATAAACGACAGAGGGAGAAACTGAATCAAGAAGGACGTGCAAAAGGCGTACAGTGTCCCTAGACTGGCGCTTTGACGATGGCGACGGCCCGCTGGTTGAGGTCTGAGTTCCACCTTTTGCACAGTTCCCGGTGGAGCGCCGTCCGACTCCACATTGCCTTCAGGGGGCCCAGGTGGAGGCAAGACTAAGGAGAAGTCCGGAAGATGCCGGAGTTCCACCTTCAGGCCCCGGTGAAGTGACTTCAGACTGACTTCAGAGTGACATGAGGGGGACCAGGTAGAGGCAAGGTCAAGTAGGAAAACGAGCTTCTCATGTTAACAAGATTAATTCGTCTAGAACGTTATTCTTCCTTATCCTCCTGCTCCTCCTCTTACTCCCATTCTTTCTTCTTCCTTTCCTCCTCCTCCTCCTCTTACTCTAATTCTTTCCTCTTCCCTTCCTCCTGCTCCTCCTCTTACTCTTAATTCTCTCTTCTTCCTTTCCTTCTTCCTTTTTTCTTTATGTAATCCCGCCCATCACCCCCAACGAGTGATTCCATCCGTGAACCTCCCAAGCTTAAAAACAACTTTAAAATCTCCCGCAAATTAGAGAAGTTACCCCCAGGCTATATCGCCATAATCGAATTCTTCCTTCGTGAGGGCGGGAGAGCTACGACCGAGGGCTAAAAGCTTGCATCTTCCCCCTCTCTCTCTCCCTCTCCTCCTCCCCAAAGCGCCCCCACTCCATATTGTACTCATCCCCCCCCCCCCCCACAACCTCTCCTCAACAAGGCTCCCACCTCTTCTACTTCTTCCATCCCCATTCTCACTCACTAAACTTTCGCTTTACCTTCTTCCTATGTCAACTTCCCATTCCCTCCCTCCCCAATTCCCCATCACTCCTCAGGCCCCCATTCTTTTTTCCCTACTGTTCCCCTTCCCCATCCTCTCCACCCCATCAGTTCCCTACCCCCTCCCCCCATTTTCCTCTCCCTCCCCCCCTACACCCCTACCCTCCCCCTACCCATCCCATGCAGTGCCAGAGGGGAACTCGCATGACACGCCCGCCGATGCCCAACGACACCTCATGCATGTGCAACTCGCCCTCCGTCCTGCAACGCGTCCTTGGCTCGCGCGTGCAGGAATTCCGCATACGATTTGCATGCGGCTCTTAAGTATTCGCAACCTCTGGTGACTGGCCAGCACTCGGCCAAACTGGGATTTTTTTTATTCTTCTTTATCTAAGGCCATTGTGTTGATGACGCCTCTCGGGGGAAAGGGTTGAGCGAAAGGGGGGAAATGATAATAACGTTATAAATACGTTTTCTTTATCCTCTCTACAATTTCGTTTTGTTTTTTTTGTCGTTTTTCGTTTGAAAATTCTACGAAAATCGCTCTCTTGGGATCAAAGTGGAGGCCAAAGCTACTCAGCTCAGTTTCCATTTACGGATAAACCGGTGAGGACGGATCTCCCCCCCCCCGCCCCTTAAAATTACCCTCCATTTGTTTCATCTGTAGGATTATCTTTTCTATCGGTCTGTCTGCCTTTTTGCTACGGTGTGATCCGATTAGATATCAAAATGTCTAGTAATCTATCTAACACTGACCCCCTCTCTCTCTCTCTCTCTCTCTCTCTCTCTCTCTCTCTCTCTCTCTCTCTCTCTCTCTCTCTCCCCATGCAATCCAACTGGACCTCCTCATCACAACAACCGCCATTGTTCGCCCTTCCTCTCGCAGAAGTTAGCAGCGCGGCTCGCCCCATCTGCTTAAGTTCCCCCTCCGTTGTTTCTCCTCGCCCCGTTTTCTCTAAAGCCGCGTCATCGTCGTTCCCGCTGCCTCTTCGTCAGGCATCAGCTGTTCCTGGAGCCAAGTCATTACCGGCTTTTTATATGGAAACTTGGGAGACATCTGGATCTCCCGCGGCCAATCGGGGGTGCGCAATATTAAAATTTTGGGGGAAATCAACGAGGGAGGGGAGGGAGGAAAGGGGGGAAAGGGAGAAAGGAAGGGGAGGTACGCGGCCGTATTGGAAATCCAAGATGGCGTCGTCGGGGAAAATACCCAAACGCACACACGTCTTCCAGACATAATGTAAACACGAACCCGCTTACACCCACACACACAAAACATTCATGTGCGTAAAAACAATGTGCACATCCCCACTCAAGACACCCGCGATTTCTACTCTACCGACGAAGGATTTCATTTCTTTTTTTTATGAATAAGTAATTATATGAATACGAATGAGACATGAGACTATATCCTCCTTCCTTCCCTCCCCCCCCCCCCGGTCGACACAAGACGGCATAACTAAGGCAAGAATTAATATTCTCACTGAGCGCCCCGAAGTCTAACGACCTTTGACCTCGTCTGTCGTCTCGGGTTAGGTCCTTGTTTATCTGTCAACCTGTCTGTCCGTTTGTCTATTCTTCTCGTTTCTTGGATGTCCCTTTTGTCTTTTTTTCCGTGTTTACTCCACCCGGCTGGACACGTCTGTGAAGGAGTGATGGAGGAGAGCAAGAGTGATGGAGAAAACTCCTTTGTACGCTTGCCTTCTCCCTCCTTCCCTCCTTCCCTCCTTCCCTCCCCTCCCTCCCATTTCCTCTCCTGCCCATGATACCTAAACAGTGTAATATTCGGCCAGTAATTTAACGAGCTAAAAATACGCCTTAAATATTTGATTAAACTGAACCGGTTTAATTGCAAACGCTTCAAAATACAGCATTTGTATTTCGGTTACAGGGAGGGGGGGGGGAGGGGTAAGGGGTAAGGGTGCAGGGGAGAGAGGGAGAGAAAGAGATGGAAAAAGGAAGCGGGACAGACACAGATAAATATATAGAAGCAGACATTAGATCACTACATATACAGTGATAGATAGATAGATAGATATATAAATAGAAAGGTAGATAACTAGATAAATAGATAGACAGATAGATAGATAGATAGATAGATAGATAGATAGATTCCCCTTTATTCCGGTTTATCACAGCCTGGAATGCTCATTTCGGTGATAAAGACGTTAACTAAATAAATAAATACATCAATAAGCGAAATAATATGAATCGTCCATTTCTTTT